ACGCAAGTAATCCATTTTCATACTTCATCCAATACAGATAAAACATCGGTATCGGCAATATTATAGGAAAATAGAACATTTATATCCAATTCTACGGGAAATCATAAATTCCATATTGATCTCAGGTTTCTGGTGGAGGGATATATTTAGATATAATAAGTTGTAAAGGATCGCTGACCTGTTTGCAAGTTATGACACATAAAAGTATTAAAAATTATGGGTGAGGTACTAGAAGGGGTTCGCAGATATATATCATCTTCACAACAGATCTTGTGTTAGCAAAAATATTTGTGTGCGTGAAATTTGAAGAGAGCTAAACGCTTATCCGCGTTTTATGAGCGTTTTGTTTTTCAGATCTTGAACCCATCTTCACAGCAGATCTTGTGTTAGTAGAAATAATGGGATGTGTAAAATATGAAGAGAATCGTTCGCTTATTTCGGGTCATTTTGGTATTTGGTACCATCTTTATAACAGATTTGTGTTGATAGAAATATTGTGTAGTACTAATGCAATTATTAGGATTTGCAAAGTTAGACCAAAATCGGATTATCCTTTCTCTTTCTGTGCAGTAAAATATTTTTTTGAACATTTCGATTTTTAGTGGGAGGTACCGATATTTCCCATAAGTTTGATAATAATATTTCGATGAACAAAGTTCCCTTCGAGAGTTATAGTGCGTGCCAGCCAGATAGAGATACTGACGGCCAGGACATCGCTAGATCGACACCAAATGTCCTGAAACGGATTTGGTCCAAAGAGACCTAGGGTCTAAATCGTTATTTCGATGAGGCACGTTTTGGCCGTATAAAATGATATATAACATCTCTAGCCATGTGGCTGAGGGTATAAAAAGTCGAACACGCAATTATTTTTGCTACAAGTCATCAGTTGGGGCCTTGATGGCAAGATATCTTCCAATTTGTCGCCATGGCGTAAGAAAGCGTGTCAACTCCACCAAGGAATCTCATTCAGTAGGACGGTAATGACTTAAGTCATTACCAGAAAGGTTAAGAGCTTGCCTAAAGGCCAAGCTCAGATGATTTATACGAAGTTCTTAAAATGCACAATTTTTTATGCCCTCCACCAAAAAAGTATGGAGGGTATATTAAGTTCGCCATTCCGTTTGTAACTCATCGAAATAATCATTTTAGACCCAATAAAGTATATATATTCTTGATCAGCGTAAAATTCTTAGACGATTTAGCCCCGTCCGTCCGTCTGTTGTAATCACGCTACAGTCTAAACGAATTCAGATAAGAAGCTAAAATTTTGCACAGATCTCTCTTTTGTCTGCAGGCAGGTCAAGTTCGAAGATGATGCCCCATCTTCGGTCTGGGGTTGTGGGTACTTTATACCTCCGCAGAGAATTATCTACATAGGTCCACGATATCGTATAGCCCCCATATGACGGTACCCCCCGATATTCGGTATTTTGATGATTTTACCCACATTTTTCAACGGAATTGTCTGAAAATCCACACAAGGAGTTCCTTGTGGGTACTTTATACCTCGACAGAGAATTATATATATAGGTCCACGATATCGTATAGCCCTTAGTCGGTATTTTGGTGTTTTTAGCAATATTTTTCAACTTGTGACCATCACAAGGGGTTCTTTGTACACAAGGGGTTCTTTGTGAGCATTTTACCCCCAGAAATAGATTTTTCTAGGTCCACAATAGCGTACACCCCCCCCCCCCCCCCCATATATCGGCACCTTCCGATATTAAGTATTTTAAAGATTTTAACAGAATTTTCAATGGATTTTATTTTTTTTGAATATTTTCTAATTCGTTCCAAATGGTGGAGGGTATTCAAAGTTCGGCCCGGCCGAACTTACTGCTTTTTTACTTGTTCAGTCTGACAAAGTTTTTAAATCAAAACTTCATTCGTGGACTTGCAAGGTTTTCGCGGTTTTCCCTTTTCGGAAGTATACACGAAGGAGGATATTAGTGAAACCATTGCCCCATGGACCGACATCCAATTTTTCTGACCTATAGTATTGCAACATTTCTATATGTAAACACCAGAAACAAAGAGAGACCTTAACATCAAATTTCAGAATTTCAGCTCAATTCCTTCGCCCAATACCAAATCTACAATCTACATCTCTCCACCCTAGACACTAAGATTGATCCAAAATTAGTACCATTTAGTAATTTTCGCACAATTATAGTACACATTTCCAAAATCACCTTCATGTCTCAATTTCATATACCAACAAAAATCTCAATATCAAGTTTGAGCATTCCAGCCCTATCCCTTAACCCAATACCAAATTATGTACAGTTTAGTCATTTTTCTCAAAATTATAGTACACATTTCCAAAACCACCTCCATATATTCAGGCTACACTTGAACATACTAAACTTCAAGTACTTCCTGTTTACTCAACGCCAAGTTGTACCGTGTATAGTACTATTTAGTACTTTTCGTGCACTTATAGCACACATTTCCGAAACCACCACTACATCTTGATCCCAGATTTAACAGAGACCTTAATATCATTTTCAAAACCAATCAACAGGGCCCCAATACAAAATTTCAAAATTCCAGCTTTATCTGTTCACACAAAACCAAATTTAATACAAATTTCCAATTTTAAGCGCCATCTGTTCACCGGATACCAAATATTACCCCATATAGTACTATTTAGTACTTGTCGTTCACTTGTAGAACACATTTTCTACACCACCTCTTTATCACAGACCTATCACCAACAGGGACCCCAATACACAATTTCAAAATTCCAACTTCATCCGATCACCCTCATCCAAACTGTTCCAAATTTAATGTCATTTGTGCAGTTTGCACACTTATCATCATCACCCTCAACCAAACTGTTCCAAATTTAATGCCATTTGTACAGTTTGCACACTTAGTAAACTTTTTTGAACCCAAATTACTTTTTAACCATGAATCTCATACCAAATTTCAAGTGTTTAGCCCTATCCATTCACATAATACCTAACGGTGCCATTTTAGAAGTTAAGTACCATTTTAGAACTTTTCTTAACGAAAAACTTCTATCCGGCACTCTACAAGTGACTCCCATTTCAACTTTAAATTCCAATACAACGTATTCAATTTTTAGTACTTTTCGTATCCTTTTATTACGATTTTCCAAAATCCAGCTATATCTCACGCCTACAAGCCAGGATTGACCCTCGTATCAATGTAAGACAATCACTTATTTCATGACTCTTTTATATGTATACTAGCTGAACCCGGTGCGCTTCGCTACCCCTTTTCATTTTATATGCATTTAAAATTTTATTTACGAATAATGTTGGTTAAAAAAAATATTGCAATATTTTGATGCGTAAATAAAAAAAACCATTAAAAATCAGTAACATGACATGCATACACGAAGGGTTTGTGCTTCGGATTTATTTATTTCATAGCAAATACCAAGCGTGCAGGTAACTGCAATCTTTTGAAGTAGAGTGGCATTTCTATTGCAATTAGTGAATTCGAGGTAGCAACATACTTCGCCTTAATAAGCGTATTTCTAATTAATTGTTGTGTTGTTTTTTAGTGTTAGCCTAAGGCGTTGTGGACTAATGGTTCTTATTAAAATCATTCCCCAATCTGATCCGATTTAAATATAATTTTAAAAAATTTACTTTTACACCAAATTCCGCCCCACCTTTCATTTTTCATTGAAATTGGTGCGTCAAATATGTGAAATCGGCCGAGAATATATATATGGGAGCTATATCCAAATCTTAACTAATTTCCAATTAATTTACCACATTTATTATTGTAACCAAATTCGGCCACACATTCTGAATTTCATTGGAATCGGTCATATATATCGTGTTTGGTGCATGTGAAATCGGCCGAGAATATATATGGAAGCTATAATCAAATCTGAGCGAATTTGAATATAATATGTCAAATTAAATTTTGTACCAAATTTAGTCATGCCGAATTTTATTGTGCATCAAATATGTGAAATCGGCGGAAAATATATATGGGAGCTATATCCAAATCTGAACCGATTCCGTCACATATTCCAAATTTCTTTAGAATCGACAAATGTATATTCGCTTTAATTTCCGCTACACATTCCAAATTTTATTGAAATTAGAGATACATAGCGTGTTTGGTGCATCAAATGAAATCGGTCGAAAGTGTATATTGGAGCTATATCCAAATCTGAACCGATTTCAATATAATTTGAGAAATCAATTTTTTAGATAAAATCCATTACATGTTTCAAATGTCATTGAAATTGGGGTTACATAGCGTGTTTGGTGCATCAAATGCTTGAAATCGGCCGAAAATATATATGGGAGCTATATCCAAATATGAACCGATTTCAATATAATTTGGCAAATTTATTTTTGTTCCGAATTCCGTTACGCATTCCAAATTTGGAGACTGTATCTTTAACCGATCAATAGATATGTGAATATAAAATCTAAATTTTTGGGAGGTACCTCCGATTCTGATGCTATATCCCCAGTTCCAAGTGGAATTTCAAAAATGTATATAGACTATGTTACTTTCAGGCGATGTTGCAGTATACATGGAAATTTTCAGGAAAATCTGTTAAGCGGTTTTCGAGTCCATAAATTACAAACAAACAAACAAACATACAAACATTTTCCTCTTTTATAGATATAGAAGATATTTCTACGGCCTCTTGGCTCCAGTCAAAAACCAGTTCGAGTTTTTTAGTTCAGAAAAGTAATCCGCTCTTCACGAACGCCCTTTTTCCCACACAATCAGCTTCCTTTCTTTCTTTAAAATACACGTGTCATAATGGCACTTCCTCATCGAAAACACTCTCTAGTCAATAATGAGTTTCTGATTTTGTTTCCGTGTCATCGACAAAACTTTTCTCCTCTTTTCTTGGCCACCACCATCAATCCTTTTGATAAAAAAAAACCAATCAAAATAATGGCTTACCCACATTAACCTGTTTGTGTCTCAATCAAATGGTTTTTAATTGAAAAACATTTTCTCTTTCTTTTTTCCCTCCTGCATTTCAGAATTATGACACAAATGAAAAACGATAATATTGCTGCCTTTATTGGACCAGATGAGAGTTGTACCACCGAGGCTTTGCTGGCTGCGGCTTGGAATATTCCAATGATCTCGTTCGTAAGTATTTTGTTTATGTTGTTATTCGATTTGGTTTGTTTTTGTTTTTGTTTTTTTTTTTTTTTTTTTTCTTTATAAGCTAATAAATCCAACTTTGATAACCAGTTAAACGGTTTGAGTGTCAACACCCGAGAAAAAAATATAGCAAATATTTCTACACGTGCCACCCTCTCAGGATTTAGACTATGGTTCTTTTGAAAACGTATCTTTATTTGTGTTGGTAGTGAGTGGGTGTTTAAAATAATTCCAATAAGTCGTCAAGTCGTTAGGTGTTTTATTATGACTATAAAATATTGTTTTCGAATTTTTGTTATTAAATCTATTACAGATATTGTCTTTGCTAAGTACTTGAAGGATTCAAATCAAATTTTCATGCATGTTATATTTAGATTTGCTAGCGGATAATTCTATATTTGGTTGGGCATTTTGACAAGTTTTCGACTGATTGATTATCTTAATTTAAACATTTAAACATTATGTATATATGGAGAGGGGAGAGCTGGAATGCTTGCTAAAAGGGTAGGAAAAGTACTAACGCGGAATGAGGTAGAAATCTGAAATCTGTATGCAGAATAGATGTTCCCAATTGCTTTTAGAAATTCGAAATTTAAATTTACAAAAACTTCTTAAAAGTATAGTTCCATACTTCTAAAATGGTACAATTTGGTATTATGAGAACGGATAGAGCTAAAAACTTGTGAATCAAAATTGAGAAGTGAGTTTGAACTACGAACTGTACTAAATTATTCTAAATTTAGATGAGTTTGATTTAGAGTGAAGCTGGAATTTTGAAATTTTGAATTGGGGTCCCTGGTGGTGGTAGGTTTGTGTGAAAGTGGTAGTTTCATCGCACGAAAAGTACTTAACCCTACTATATTTTGTAAATATTTGTATTGGGTGATAAGATAGTTCTTGAAATCTGAAATTTGATATTAGTGTCGTTGTTCGTGTGTAGGCTGGACATACAGGGTGACCGCAACAAAGTCAAAAGCCATGATTTTTACATTTTTTTAAAATTTGAAAGTAAAAAATGTCAGAAATGGCATCAAATTTTAGAATAAGTTTAGATTTGTTCGACTTGGTCACAATTGGCGCGAATTATGGCCTTCCAACGGCCAATGGAACCGTCACACGCTGCCCGAATGTTGTTATGCGGTTTTTGGACCTTTGCCGGCGAAACGCTTGCTTGAGGTGATCGAAGCTTTGGTATTTTTTAGTGTCAACCTTGCTTTCCAAAATACTCCAATAGTCCAACGGATTGGTATCCGGAGGTTTTGATGGCCATTGTGCGCTGGAAATGAAGCGAGGAACCTCATTTTCTAAACATTCTTGGGTGGCGCGTGCTGAATGCGATGGTGCTGAATCCTGTTGTAATGTCCAAGGTCAGCGGCCGAAATATTTGCGTACCCAAGACTTTAATACACCCTCCAGAATATATTCGCGATTATATTCAGCATTTATTCTGATGCCACGGTTGATTAATACGAGCATAGAGCGACCATCGGCTGTTATGTCGGCCTACACCATCATCACGGCCAGCGCTTTAGTTCTGGTGGCCAACCGAAGGTGCACATTTCATCATTTTGTTTGTTTACAAACCAAAATCGGCAGCTCACCACTTTCGGTCGAGCGAGGCAACTCTTAAGCTCTTTTGAGTCTATTTTCTTTCTGTTGCGGTGTAAGTTCTTGTACTTTTTGAAATTTACCCCGAGGATTTCGGTCAAGTCGCTTCTCTACTTTTCGAACCATTTCTGCTGCTGTTTTTGTTCCGTCCACTTCCTTGACGTCGGGCTAAGCTATCAGCATCACGGTAACGAGCGATGGTACGAGATACAAAAGATTTATTCACATTTAAATGCTGGAGTGCTCTAACGGTAGCCACTTGAGGTTTTCCAGCCAAATATAAAGAAATCACCCTATCAGGCTTGAATTCCATCACGAATAACTTTTTTTCTGGAAAATTCTCACCAAAAATGATTTTGTACGCTTGTAAACAATGTAATGAGCTGTCACTGGAAAAATTTTAACAGCTGTCGGACGAGTGGCTTAGAAATGACAGCAGTATGAAGTTGGTTGCAGTTTTTTCATCTCACCCTGTATGTACTCAGTGCACGAACTGTACTTAATTTGAATGAGTTTGATTTAGAGTAAACGGATGAAGCTGAAATTTTAAAATTATGTATTCGGATCCCTGTTGGTGGTAGGTTGTGAGAAATAGGTAGGTTCGGCGCATGAAAAGTATTTAACCCTACTATAGTTGATACATATTTGTATTGGGTAAATAGATAGTGCTTGAAATCTGAAATTTGGTATTGGGGTCGTTGTTCATGTGTAGGCTGGACTTATGGAGGCGATTTCGGAAATGAGAACTGTAAATGTACGAAAAGTACTACATCATACTGAAACCCGAAATTGGATATTGAAGCCTCTTTTGGTATCGGGAATTGAGAAATTGAGGTGGTTTTAGAAATGTGTACTATAATTGTACGAAAAGTGCTGAATTGTAATAAATTTGGTGTTGGATGGAGTGACAGAGCTGGAAACCCGAGATTTGATATTGACGTCTCTGATAGATCTGGGATCAAGGTGTACAGGTGGCTATAAGTGCACGAAAAGAACTAAATTGTACTCTATATGGTGCAACTTGATATTGGGTAAACAGATAGTACTTGAAATTTAGTATGAGGGTCGTTGTTTACGTGTAGTCTGAAAATATGGAGGCGATTTCGGAAATGAGAACTGTAATTGTACGAAAAGTACTACAAAGTACTAAATTTGATATTGGCTGAAGGGATAGAGGTAGAATCCTCAAATTGGATATTGTATCTGAAATTGAAATATGAAGGTTGCTTTGGAAATGTCTACTATAATTGAACAATAAGTGCTAAATGTTTCTTATTTTGGATCACTCTTTGTGCCTTGGATTTAGATATGTAAATCTTTTGGGATATGCGTACTAAATGTTACTAAATTTAGTATGGTGTGAAGGGATAAAGGTGAAATTCTAAAATTTAATATTGAGGTCACAGTTGGTTTTTATGGTTTACATATGGAGATGTTGAAACAGTTTTGAACAAAAAAATACCACATAGTGGTAAGGTATTATGTCTTTGGGCATTTTTTTATACCCTCCACCAAAAAAGGTATGGAGGGTATATTAAGTTCGTCATTCCGTTTGTAACTCATCGAAATAATCATTTTAGACCCAACAAAGTATATATATTCTTGATCAGCGTAATCACGCTACAGTCTGTTGTAATCACGCTACAGTCTAAACGAATTAAGATAGGAAGCTAAAATTTTGCACAGATCCCTCTTTTGTCTGCAGGCAGGTCAAGTTCGACGATATCGTATAGCCCCCATATAACGGTACCCCCGATATTCGGTATTTTGATGATTTTAGCCACATTTTTCAATTGAATTGTCTGAAATTCCACAAAAGGAGTCCCTTGTGGGCATTTTACCTCCTCAAAAAGAATTGTCTACATAGGTCCACGATATCGTATATCCCCCATATAACTGTAACCCCCGATATTCGGTATTTTGATGATGTTAGCCACGCTTTTCAATGGAATTGTCTTAAAATCAACACAAGTAGTTCCTTGTGAGCACTTCATCCCCTGAGAGAGAATTGTCTATACAGGTCCAAGATATCGTATATCTCCCATATAACGGTACCTCCCGATATTCGGTATTTTATGATTTGACCCACATTTTTCATCGAAATTGTCTGAAAATCCACACAAGGAGTTCCTTGTGGGTACTTTATACCTCGGCAGAGAATTATCTATATAGATCCACGATATTGTATAGCCCTCATATAACGGTACCCCCGATATTCGGTATTTTGATGTTTTTAGCCATATTTTTCAACGGAATGGTCACAACGGGTTCTTTGTACACAAGGGGTTCGTTGTGAGCACTTTACCCCCCGACAGAGAATTCTCTATATAGGTTAACGATAACGTATAGCTCCCATATAACGGTACCCCGCGATATTCGGCATTTTGATGATTTTAGCCACATTCTCCAATCGTATTGTCTAAAATCCACACACGGAGTTCCTTGTGAGTACTTTACACGCAGACATAGATTTGTCTTTATAGGTCCACAATATCGTATATCCCCCCATATATCGGCACCTTCCTATATTAGATATTTTAAAGATTTTAAAAGCATTTTTATTGGATTTTATTTTTTTGAAAATTTCCTAATTCGTTCCAAATGGTGGAGGGTATTCAAAGTTCGGCCCGGCCGAACTTACTGCTTTTTTACTTGTTTTGTTTTTTTTTTTTTTTTTTTTTTTTTTTTTTTTGTTTTCCAAACGGTCTTATTTTTAGTTTAAAGTGAAACACGGTTGAATTCAGATAATTTTATATAAAAATGTTTTCATTACCCAATGGTGGCCCGGCCAAACTTAATGTTTTTTTTTTTTTTTACTTGTTATTGATCAAATTTTGATCGAATTGCTTTGAGGGACTTCTATCTATTTTTCACTTGACGAAACATAAATAATTAATAGGATATTTCATATCAATACATTCATTTGTTCATGAATGCCTAAATTAATCTATTCATTTCTTGTTCCTTGACAACAAAATAACAATTAAAAACAAAAAACTAAATTCCTGCAAAATATATAACTGAATAACAAATTAATTTATTATCTTTAATGAATTGAAATTAGAATGTTCAGTCTTATCATCAAAGACGGCATCATTTCCTGTTAAATATGAAAGGGGAAAATGAATGCCTTCATGACTCAATATTAGGATGTCCGAGGCTATAATCGTAAAGATGAAATAATCCGTCTTGAATTGAGTTTCCAGTTATAGACCCAATAGTCGTCGAATAGTAATCTGCTGATGTTTCGTCTAGCATCCTTCAATGTGACCAACGCCATTTCCTTCCCTGGTTACGCTTAATTTCCAACCTGATACACCCTTTTACACAAACACCCAACTGTTAATGAAAGGATGACGGTCTTATCTTTGCAACAA